TTCAAATCTTTGGCAGATAAATATGGGAAGCCGTGAACACTCTTCATCGTCGTTACGGCAGGGGTACCCCAAAAAAAATAGATCGGAGAGAATCACACTGGGGCACGGTGCACGGTCAGTTGCTTCAGCCTGCAGGAAGCCGGAGATCTCATTCAAAGAACTGATCTATGAAATGTCTCTTGGCGGATACTGTTAGGACTCCAGTCGATTCTTCAGACCAAAGCTGCCACAAAAGGTGCACAAGGACATCGTATTTGGCTGTTGTTTTTTCCATGGCTATTGTTCCATCGATGTTCCATGGCTACTAGTATTTGGTTGCGCAATGATTCAGATTTCCCATCTGAGCAGTTCATGCCAGCTTCGTCCGCGCTACGCCGCGCGCGCTGCGGCCAGCTGCCCAACCCGCGGATTGACGGGTTTCAGCGGCGAAGATCTGCAGGAAAGCCATGGGTTTTGCGGGGGTAGAAGATGGTAGAAGATGGACTCATACAACAATGGGGGGCCTTTTGTTTGTGCAAACCATGGTTTCCTGTAGATGTTCCCTTTAACCAATCTATTGAGAGCGCTTGGAATGAGGTTGGACTATGACATGAAGCAGGTGGGTCTTGCACTCCCTCCACAGGCCAAGGACATCCTCAAGCGACAGGCGAGGAAATTGCGGGAAGGACGTACGTAGCGGCGGGTTCGGAGTGATGCCTGAGTGGCGTGGCAGAATGAGACGGCTGAGTGGTAAATGGAAGCTTCTTGGGATTGTCCTTCACGAGAATTCGATGTGCCAAGATAGAGGGGTGATCACTTGGCCAACGCCAGTGCTTTGTTTCATGTTCAACGCCCGTGTTCGATGTTTGACCCATGGAGAGGGGTCTTTGGGTTCAGGGTTTGTTGATTTTGGACTCGGGTTTGTTGAAGGTCCATAGTGACCCTCATCAACCATCATCAACCCGACAAGGTCTTGTTTACAGCGCTTCTTTCGCCCATTCATTCACTTACCTTCGTAGTTGGACTTATAGTTGCCCACGGATTGATCAGTCGCCTGGTGTTTTCAGACATGTTCACGGTTTTCACAGCAGCATTGTCATCGTTTTCACAACATAATAGTCGGGTTCACCACATGATCATCGGTTTCATAACATTGTCATCGATTAGTCATGTGATTAACAATGGGGTGGGGGGAGGATGGTATGTTCCATTTTCAAGTGGCGCACCAAAAACAAAATTTGCGTGTGAATTGACATCGGTTGTGCCATGTCAATTGTCTTCGACGGCAGGGGTCCAGCAAATAGATCGAGCGTGGCATGAATTGAACAACTGCATTCCTACCCACTTGCCCAGAAGGGTCAAAGCGAAAGGCTCATATGTGCATAACCCAGCCATTGAAAGACGAGTGTGGCAGTTTGTTTGGAGAAGAGAGCTGAAAGAGTCAGCACCAGAAGATGTGCTGGAAGCTCTGATGCGAGTGATCCAAGACAGTGGCCGATAAAGAAAGTCAAGCGCGGTCCGCATTGATGAACACAAAAAGTTTTTGAACCTGCTTTCACTATGTTCCATGAACGCTCCGTTTACAAGGGGTGTTACAACGCAGGCCTGGTTTCGTACTAGGCGACCACCGCGCCCGTGACCATATAATGTCGATGTAGGATTAAGCAACAGGGGCCCCCCCCTTCAAGGTCAACAAGGTCTGAGATTGGAGGTATTGGAGGACCACCCTGACCACATCCCCCTAATAAAGATGATGATGGATGATGAGATGAGGACCTGCACCTGGTGATGGATCATGGTTGATGGGATTCTGTGTCATGAGAGATTGAACCATGAGAACCATGAGACTATTGGGAAACCATTTGGTGATAGCATTGGAAAACAAGAATGAGGCCAGAGGGTGGGATTGATTAATAGGGGAAGGGGGTCCTCCTATGCCCTTTGTGAGCTTGAAATAGTTAAGATTTTGATAGAGTTTTAATAGGGGAAAGTAAAAGACATTTGCTAGAGCGTTTTTGGGGTTTTGGGGATGGTTGGTAGAGTGAGCTCTTAGGGAGAAGCCATCAAAAGGATTGGTGAGCAGGATGAGGCAGTTGAGAGGTGGTGGTGAGAATCAGGAAGATGACAAGATGAAGTAAGACACCAATGCTATCTCTCAAAAAGATTGCATGAGACAAGGGTGGGGCAGAAGATCAGTTTCACCATGGACCAGAAGATATGGGATATTAGCCAAAAAGAAAATACATATAGACTATAGAATAACTATAAATAGAATAACAATATATATTTTTACGTTTCTGGGGCAGCTGGGATTGATTCAATTGATTAATAGGGGGAGGTTTCTGCCCAGGAAAAAGAATTATTAGGGGGATGTCAAGGTGGAAATCTAGGCTTTAAATTAGTTTAGTATTGGGGGGGTCGAGCTGGGATTGATTAATCGGGGGTGGTTTCTTACTCCTATGTTGACATTAGTTACCTGGTTTAGATGAGTTTGGAGTGTTCATGGAGGTCATACACATCACCGCGGATTTCAGGCATGGAAGATCGAACCCCTCAACCGATCTCGTCAAGCAAACTTCGCCATTTGCCAGGACCAATACTGCTGAGCTGAGATGCATGCCTATGTACAAAGCCAGGGCAAAGTGAAGCCTCATGAGGCACCAGGCACACACCCATGAAACAAGCAACGGTTGCCAATCCGCTGTTTCATAAAGCTCCTTTGCGATGCATGTCCAACAACATTAGGTAGTTACTGGAAGGATACGGAAGGATGCGGTGATTGGAGCCGTGCATATGTTTAATAGACTTCACAGTGATTCACCATCGCTTCTCACCTTCCAGAGCATATCTTCAGGCATCGCTACTTACGACATTTGTTGTTGGCCTGGCAACTGTCCAAACGCGGGGGGCGCTCGAACGCTGGACGTTGGAAACGAGCTGCAACGTTCAGTCGTGGAGTCAAAGGTCCAGCTGCGTTCGTGCTGCCGTAAAACCTGAGGGACGCATTGCCACCGGCTGCGTTCGCATCTCGGTTGATGTTTGATGATGTTGGATGATGTGAACGAAGCTGCCACCAGTGGGTAAAAGAATGTAAAAGGTCAAGGGTCACCACTCGTTTTGGTCCAACTGCGGCTCCCTACTACTCTACTCTATTCCCCAGCATCATCTTGAGCACTGTTTGAGCCTCAGGACCTGTCGGGGCTTGGTTCGCTTGGTTCGCAACCCTTTGGGTCGTGGATGTCTCCTTCACCGAGAACGTGGTGAGGAAGAAAAGCAGGGCGGAAAGGTGATACAAGCCGGGCAGGTGTAGAAGCCTATAATGTAGACTCTTGATTAAAGAACCTCCAAGATCATCAACCCTCCACGGTTTTATTGTTTTTATCAAGAGTCTTACAGAGTCTTACCTAAAGGATTATTGATGCTTATTGGAAAGGACTAGCTTTGTAGCTATTGAGTTCCGTGTTGAAATCCCCTGTGTAGAGACTGAAAAGGGTGCCCATCGCAAAAAACGTTGACATGGGCCGGACACGGCAACATCGACGTTGATGAATGTACCGGCTACAGCGGGCGGCACAGGTGAGGAGCTTTGGCGCGGGCTTCCTTAAAGGACACGTGTGACACATGCAGCATCCTGTCATAGCCACCGGAATGGCAATCCTTTCGCTGTTCTTGCGGTGCATCCAATGCTTCGAGGGGCACCTGGGGCAATCATCCAATCATCCACAGACTCCCCTGCTCCCTCCCTCCGAGTTTGGTTCTGTGGGACGTTCCATGATGTGTCCAGTGCCGGCGGTGCGCATTCTTCCCGGGTCACCTCCATGCACCGCCGGGGTTTCGGCGGACAAGACTGGGGGGACGAGACGCCCGGGTGCGCTGAGCTCACCAGCAACGGACCACAACATGCAACGACGCTGACATGAAGCGCTGGCCTAAACGGGTCTAAAGATGCTAAAAAGCACTGTCACTTTCGCCGCTGTTCGTCGTGGAAAACCAGATGGTCATGGGGTGAGTGGCAAATGTCAACCAGGAGCTTGTGTCTTGGCCTTGGCGCCACCGGCAGTCCCACTTGGCCGTAGTCTAGGCCGAACTCCGAGCCTCAGTCGTTTAAGGTCCGGCGAACTGACGCAAATCCTTGAGGTAGAAATGGTGGCCTGGCCCCGTCAAGCCAACCACATCCATCTCCAATCCAATCCATCTCCAATCCCTCCAATCCATCTCCGCTCCATGGAAGTGCCGCGGGCCATGTTTCGGCTGGGTTGATCGCCCATTCGGGGCACTCCTTTGCAGGACACCCGCCTGAGGACCCACAGGCCCGCGCGCAGTCCGGCATCAAAGCCGGTGCCGCGGCGCCCTGGGAAGAGCTTTTGGAGGGGACCGCGAAAGGCTGGGGACTGTGGCGATGAATAGGGCTGTGATGAGGTGAAAGATGGTATAGATGGTGACCAGGGTTTTTGGGGTGATACAGCCGCAGCATCCGCAGCCGACCTCCAACACTTTGACACCAGACGTGTGTCAACGTTATGAATCAGCTAGCTTAGATACTGCTTGTAGAGCGCTACCCTAGCTGCCTCAGGGGCGCTCCCCTGTGATAGTCGATTGGCCTTTGGATTGTGAGTGGTACGGTGCCCGTACCGCGGCACCGCTTCGTCCCTGCCTTCTGCCAATCTACTCGCATGTTCCCATTGTCTTTGACCGTTTTGTATGACGTTTGTTCTCAGACCTCACCATGCTCGACACTGACAATTCAGAGCCGGCAGTCACGAGCACTGCCCACCTCCGCAGTCACGCATCGTGGCCAAAAAGAGAGTCCATCGCTCCATCGGACCTGACGAGGCGGACGAGGCGAGACGCGAGACGTGAGTGACTCCACAAGCAGTTACCGATTCCTTGCTGAACTTGGGGAAAAAAACCAAGACCCGGAACCTCCACTCACTGGGTGCTGCGAAATAGTCTGTGAACAAGCACAGCCAGCAGTCAGCAACGGCGTCAACGAAATGGGCTTCCGCGCCCGTTGGACCCAGGTCTTCCTCGGAGAGGTGCGGAGGGTTCCGCGGGGAGGGTTCCGCGGGAGCCACAGCAAGCAGTAAAACACAGCAACCAGTGGAGCTGCAGGTCACCTTTTGATAGACCTTAAAAGGGAGCGTCAAATGGTGACGCTCTGCGAAGGTGCGGTCTGCTCGATAAAACATCATCAGTCACCTTTCGATGCCTTTTTGGGGGAGTTGGGACAACTCAGCGGGCAACCCCCAGTTGTTTCTATGCGTCTAAATATATATAATGTGTTATGTTTTTCTCTTCGCTGCGCTTCTCAGGTCTGAGTGTCATTGGGGAGGCATTGCCTCAAGTGGGGTTTCACATCTCAGGGGCGAGTAGCCAAAACCAGCCGCGAAATCCACTCGTGCTGTTTTGGGAAGGCACCCACCGAAGAGACAGAACTTGGAAAGCCGAACCAGAAACGTGTTTGAAAAAGCAGCCCTGGAGCATCCAAACATGGGAAAAACAAGAAGATGACACACTCATGGGGCAGCATATCGGACTTCAGGACTAGAGCAGTGCTCGGAGTATCCAAACATGGGCTACTGGACCTGCCGGACGCGCGTCGCGCTACCTGGAACGATGCCCAGACGCCGCCACCGCAGCACCTGGTGCGCCGCCGGGATTTGGATCTACGGCGTGCCTGGGCAGAGGCCGGTTTGCTCCAAACGTGTGGAGCGCCGTGAAGAGCGTGTGGAGGGAGTCCCTAGCCTACATATTATATGTGTATATATATATATATGTGTGTGTGTTTTTTGTACAACTATATATATATATATATGTCATACGTATTTTAATCAATGGTTCTTAATATACTTAATATGCATTTTATATGATGGTTTACATTTTTTAATTATAGTGAGTCCTGGGAGATTGCAAGACGTTGAGTCAATCGTGTTTTTCTTGTAAACTTGGTATATAGTCCTTTTATGTCCTTTTGTTTATTCTCCTGGAGGTGGCGAAATGCCAAGAGGTTGCACGCACACATGCCACCCTTGGCCGGGTGAAGAGTCTATGGATAGAGATATTGAAATGGGTCCAGGGGCATGTTGCTCAGAGTCGCTCACAGTCTGGCCAACAGTACACTCGCTAAGTTTCAATCCAAGTTCTGGTGACTTGCTACTGCCATTTCATACACATACATAAATTACCATAAATGGCATTTGTTTGACTGTGACTGTTTGTACTTTTATAGTAATATGTGAAACACTCTCTAGTTGATTTTCTCTTGCTGCCATCCAGAAAAGAAACACGTCAAAAGAAAGCACGCTTTCGACGACACACGGCTGTCTTCACCGCTTTCGACACCGGTCAGGTCTGGTGGCGCTGGAACGGCCGCCGACGGGCGGGTGACGCGTCAGGGGGCCCAGCCGAACGGGCTCGCACCGTTGAGAGAAAGCAAGCATTGACATGAGTTTTTTCTCAAAGCAGACGTGATAATTTTAGATGTTCCACGGGATACTTAAGCCTTCACGCACCGTGGTGCACTGAAAAGCGAGATAGAGAGAGAGAGAGAGAAAAGATAACACATCCTGCACAATTGAACCTCCCTATAGTCTTTCACTGGTGAGGTCTTGCCAAACATGTTTTAGCCCCAAAAATTGGTATTTCTCAGACAGCAGGACGTTTTCGGCGTTCACGTCCTCGGTCCAAGTGCACGGTCGCACTGGGCCCCGTGACTGAATGCTACCAGTAGTTCAGTCACTACCTGGCAGCACTAGATGGATCCTAGGAGCACTACCTGGTAGCAGAATGCTACTCTATTCTCTGCCCCTGGCAGCACGATCAACAAGACGCTATGATCCTGTCACGGCATCGCCTTCGTCCACACCGTTCGTCCGGACCTCCGTCCTTGGTCCGGACGGAGGTCCTTGAGGCCCCAAACCGTCCGGGATGTTCCGCCGGACGCTGGGCCAGGCAGAGCCAAGTGGATGAGAGCCTTGGACCCAGTTGTGACTATCAGCAACTCTCAGAAGGCGGGCTGACCCGATCCCGTCCGCAGGACCTCGCCCCTCGGCCCCGGTCGCCGCGCCGTCCGCACGCACGGGTTTGGCAGGTCCTGGTGCATCAGTGGCTCAGTCCGGGGCCCCCAACAGCGAGAATACTGGGTGTTTCTGGACTCCTGGGCTCGATGGATGGATCGAGTTCCAAAGACCAAGCTGGCAAAATAGGTCACCAAGCTGCACATCACACATTCATGTCGCTGATGCGACCAACTGAGTTGGAGTACATTGAGTATGTCATGGTTGGCATCCGCACGGACCTGATGTTTAGGTTCAATGAAGCCATTTTTGAGTCAAGCCACAGTCCTTGCACCAAAGAGTCTCATTGCTATAGGACTTTGTCCTGAGATCAGCATGGCCAACCAGAACCAAGTGATCGGATTGGTGGCATCAGAGTGCAACAACTTTGTTGATCACTTCTTCGCTTCGAATTGCCCTGCTTTTGCAGAGCTTGGAAGCCCGGATGTCGCCAAGATCGAGCAGAAGGCAGAGTGGTTCAGTCTATTCCAACGCTTTGAAGCTGAGGCTGAGCTGACGATGCAGAATGCCTTGATGCTGTGGGGCTTGGTTCAAGCAAAGACCTTTGAGGAGCAATTTCTGGATGAGGCGATGCGTTCTCAAGCATTGGACGATTTCCTCTCTCTCACTGAGTACCCAGCCTTTGTGAGCCGAATGCATCGTGAACTGCAGCACAGGCATGAGGACACCAATCTTGGGGAGTCTGAGTGGTTACGAGGAGTTTCTACTTCCTCGCGGCCTGAAACACACTGGAATGATGCGCCCACTAGCCAGCGACTAGCAGAACTAGACCAGCGTTTGGCTGCAGTGGAAGCAGAGCGCAACGCTTTGCTGATGGAGCGACGTGCTTTGGTGGGCCGTCATGTCCAGGCAGACACAAGCCAGACGTTGAAGCAGCAGATTCAGTTGCAGCGGTACAGAGAAGAAGTCGGCTTGGACTAGCTGGCACATGATGTTTTTGATTGTTTTTTGCATTCTCCCGAGGATGAGGCTCGAGAGATGTAAAGGTATTGTAAGTAGCTAGAGTATGCTAACCCATTTGAAAGTTTGCACAGTGTCCCTCCAGGCACTTGTATCGAATCATATTGAATTTCAGGACAACTTTAGACATCAATATTGAATGAACTGCGTGCCTGGGGGGTTGCAGAAGTGTTTCTAAATGGACTCGGAGGGCAGGGGACTGAGCTTCGTCATTTGAAAAGGCACCTGAAGCTCTATCCAACCCCCCCTCTCCAGCGAGTTTTGCTTTTGTCAGCAGAGGGGCCGCCTC